TTTATAGTCGCGGACGGACTGTTAGGTCTTCCAAGAAAATGACTTTATCGAGGAAGGTATTTATGTCGAAAAACTAATTTCCGGACGTCTGCGACGTCTCGCAGTGCCGAAAGTCTGTTTTTATTTTATATGCCGCGTTTCGTGTTCGGAACGTTTGCGGGCTCGAAGATGTTGCGTGGTGTTGCGAAGGTTTTGTTTTAACTCTGCTTTGTAGGAACACTTTGGTTCGTTTGCGGATATTCGCAATTAAAACTTACATTCCTATTTGGATGTTAGGTAGTTTTATGATTTGTGCTAGAGCAATTAGGACCGAGAGTTCGTGTAAGTTGTTTCCCCGAACGAAGCGTTTTTCGTTACGGTGAAGTGTTGACCTTCCGAGATTCGTACGGCTTTAGGAGCTCTGGTACGAGTGTTTTCTTATACGTCGGATTTTGTAGGCAACTTGCTTCGGGAATAGAGTGAATCACGAAATTACAGAACTTAGCCGATTTTCGACAAGTTTGCATTATCCGTTGAAAGTATTGGCTTGGCGTGAAGGTTGTGTTTAGCCGCACAGCCAAGGTCGTATTTGGTAGAGGATTAGACCACGACACTTTCGTGCTATCGAAAAGGTCGAGTCGGTTTGTAAACTTGGCATTGAAGTGAAGCGCGATCGGACAATAGCCAAGTAGCGTTTGTCGAGCTTGATATGCCACGTATGCCCGTGTATATAGAAAACGTTTTTCCGTTTTATGTTTGATTTCTACGGTGAAAGTTTTGTATAAACTTTCCTTTGTATGAAAGTTTTTTTTTTTTTTTTTTTTACTCGAGGGAGACAGATCCTAAGAAGCTCGATGCAGTGCCCGTGCGGAGTCGTTTGTGGGGCGGTCTCATTCTCGGATGTAAACGGGAGGAATGAGAGCGGATGCTTGTGAACCGATGGGCTAAAGAGTGAAATCTTTCAGATCGTGTCGCGAGGAGGCAAAGTTTAGATTGGTCGCCCAGTGCCGGATCGTATAGCTTGGTTTTTGCTATAAGGAAAGTACTTTTCGCAAAACCTGTTACGTTGACTTTCGAAAGTTACTTCGTTATGACATGATCCTGACTATACGAAGGATTTCTCGCGTAAGCAACGGGCGATGAATTTAGTAAATCGACGCGACGCATTAGGTTAACAATGTTTCCGCAGATTTTTCGAGAAACCTTTCCACTTAGTTTTTGATTCTTCGGTGATAGTTTTTTCGGAGTCACTCGTGGAGTTTTACCAAAAGTTATCTCACCGAGATCTAGTCGCAAAATGTTTTAGCGGGTTTCTCGGGCGGAATGAATCACATGATCAGCAATATGATCAATCGGCGAGAAGGGAGGACGTGTTCTCTATTGCTGCTTTGTGTTTCTCGATTTTTCTTTTGCCACAAATGTTCTTGATATTATTCCGTGACTCACTTGATTCGACGGAAAATGATAGCACTGTTTTGACGCCTAAAGATTTCTCGTATAATTTTTCGATTCTTATACGACACTTCTTTTATCAAGTTCGAGAAGATCTTTATGACTTCGGCAAATTATCGAGTTTCACCCTGAAGTTTCGCAGAGATTTTCTAATAGCATGGTTGCGACGAGAGATGCTGTATAGTCCTCGAGATTATTTCCCAGACAGTTTGGATCAGTCTTTAGCGCTTAGATGGTTTTTAGATTGTCGTTTGCTTTTGGGATGATTTCGACGAGGCGTTGCATCGTCCGAATATTTTTCCGCTTATTTTAGAAAGCGTTTTCTTGATGCGAGAAAAAATGTTCGGCAAAAGAAGAAAAATGAGTTTCGTTTGAAGGATTGGGATGATCGACAATCCTGGTCGAGTAAAGACCTTGGTGGATCGGAGATGACTTGGAGTATGTCTGATTTACGAAAACTTCTAGGAGCGAGTTGGTTTCAAATCATTTGATTTGATTCATAGCCATCCAAATATACGATGTCAGAAAAAAAAATATTTTAACCGGTTTTGATTCGTAAAAAGAGATAAAAAATGTAAAATAAAAAAATTGTTATAAAATAAATAAATAAAAACCTATTTACTTTTTGAATAATAATACCTAATTTAATAAATTTAGTAAATAAAAATATTTTGAAAAATTATATATAATATATTATTTATTCATCTTTTCATTAAATATATGTATATATATAAGAATATAACGGATCGGATATCCCTTTTTAAAAATATTAGTATTTATTTGGTTCATTTATACTAATATTGCATATTAGTATTTCCTTTTCTTCGTAGAGTTATGAATATCTAGATTTTTTGTTCGAATCGAAAAGGATGACGAATCAAATCAAAATTTACGGATATTATGTTTGGCCCTATATATATGTGCACATTGACGTGAGCACATATATAACTAGATATTCACTACAAGTGAGGATTCTAATTCTCTTGGAAACTGAATATTCTTTTACTATTAATGAAATGAAATGATTTGTCTTAATAATTATTTTTTCTTTTTCTTCAATTATTTTCTAAGTTTGGTTTGATGTTTCATGCCTTTAGAAATTATATTTATGAAGCCATTAGTTTGAAAAAATTCATATAACATGAAACCAAACAAATAATAATAGTTTTTGGTTATTATTAAAAACTCTACAAACTCAAACATTTTAACCGAATAAATAAAATAAATATTAATTAAGAATAGTAATTATATTTTAATAGATTAAAATTCAGAAAAAACTAACCTGAAACTGAACCTATATCCAGATTAAACAGACATAAAATCTTCTTATCTTAAGAAATAGTAAAATTAATAATCTCATACCATAACACAAATTATTACCTAACTAGGTGATTTTCCCGTGCTCATGCACGGGTATAAATATTTATTAAGTAAATATACTATAATAATTGATTACTATTTACTTTTAATTTTCAATTAATTTTTAATTTGAATACATGATTTATATTAATAATATTATTTTACTTTAATTAGACATATTATTTTAGAAATATTATATCTAGTCAATTTTATTATTTTATAGTCGATTTTACTGTTATTATTTGAGTATATTAGATTACATTCTTTTATCTGAATTCAACTATAATATTTTTTATTCTAATATATTAAAATTTGATTAATTCTATTATTTACTTTTAGGTTGTTTGCTGTGTCAGATGTCAATATATTTTAGAAAAGTTATTCATAACTTAAGATATATTATCCCTATAATGAAATATAAAATAATTTTGATTTCAAATTACATCAATCGATATAAAGAGAATCTTTGAAGTCTCATGCATATATATAAATTTCACAAAATAAATCAAATTAAAGTAATATTATTTATCATTTAAATTAGCATGTATTTTCATAATATTTATCAAGTTATATGTTTCTTTAAAATATCGTAGAAAATAAAGCAATAATCAGTAGGAAGTTACATACTTAAGTAACTCATATATTTTGGAGATTCATGAACACATATCAATATTTACAATAACTAAAATATTTTATAAATTATAAATAATTTTATATCTTAGATTTATTGAATGATAAACTGAAATTATTTTAAATAATCTTAAAAATGAGAATTCGGATTTGCTTTGGTATTTTTATTATGGTTATATTAAGTTACACACACATAAAAATTTTAAAAAAAAATTAAAATTAAGAATCATATAATTTAAATAATTATAAAATATAACATATCTATGTCATTAAAGTATATAGTGGTATGATATTTTAAAATATTTTGTAATTATTTGATTAAAAGATGCTTATTTTAAAAAAATATTTTAATTTCTCTTAAAAATAAGCAGTAAAAATTGTGGTTGTATTTGAGAAATCATATTATATAAGTAAAATTTAATTTATAGATATTTTTTTTTGCTTTAGTTGAAAGATACTATAGTCAACTACATATATGAAAATAAATAAAATATTCAATAATTTTAATTAAAAACTATTTTAGTTAATAAAAACATATACTTGTTTATGTTACTTAAAATTATGTTTAAAAGTAATTTTTTTTTTTCAAATATCAAAATTATATGTGTGAATTTTTTGTTATGAAATCACATTATATAAAAATATATATTTTCATATAAGAAAATACAGATATAAAGAAAGTATTTTATTAATTAAAAAGTACACTTTATGTTATTTAAAATATTTTTAATGGATGTTACTATTTTTTTAATTTTCCCTTTTAATGAAATCATATTATATAAACATATATTTTCGTTTTAAATTTTTTCTTTTAAATTTTATAGATGTTTTTTCTATTATAAATTTTAGTTGAAAATTTTTAAAAAGGAAACTAAATACAAAATTAATAATACTATTTTACTATTTTGATAATAGATTACTATTTTGTGAACTTTCCTTTTTAATGAAATCATATTATATAAACATATATTTTCGTTTTTAAATTTAAAATTTTTTTTCTTTTTTATTATAAAAGTTATTTGGAATGTTTTTAAAAGGAAACTAAACATAAAATTAATAATATTATTTAAATATACTATTTAAATATATTCATCAGGGGTATCATAGTAATCAACCGGTGTAAGAGTCAACGTGAACGCGCCACATAGGAAACTGATTTCTCAAATAATATTATAGAGATTTTTATTATTATATAAGCAAATTATTCAGTTTACCATATCGTAGAAATCATGGTCCTACAACATATATCATGATTCATTCAATAATGCTTTCAACTGAAACAAGCGAATATGATGAATAAAAATGAAATGGATTAGAAGGAATAATTGTAGTCTATTATTTTTTAATATTTTGAAATATTAAGAAATCATTAAGAACAAATTTTTTTTTGTAAATAGTGTAAATTATAAAAAATAATAAAGAATTCATTATTCCCACTCATTCTTTTGGTCATTAAAGAAATAACAAAACGTCCACAGTTCAAAAAAAAAGGAAGAACAAAACGTCCATTGCATTGTTCATCGACTTAAACCACCATTTTAACCAACACCAGATAAAATTTAAGGAAAAGCCTTCCCCTTTCAATCATGAAGAGGAGGAGGGGATCTATTTGGCAACCTCCGGCCAAGCACAAAGCTGCTGAACAAGTGCAAAGCTCGTGAAGGCTGCGCGTATGGCACCATATGAGCAGCTCCTCTAACAGTTGCGAATGTCAGTATATCCCCATACTCTATTACCCATCCGCCAACCTACCTCACGTCAAATAACTTAACAGTTAAGGGTAGACGTAATACCAAACTAAATAACCGAACCAAACATTAAAAAGCAACTGTCGTAAGATTTACATCACGTCACATAAGTAAAGGCCATTAATAGTGAATTGATAAACCAAAAAAAAAGGTTACACCTAAAACATGCGACAGACTTGCTTAATTAGTTTATTTTCTTACTCTCTCTACCTTTAATACGAAAACTTTAAAACAAATGGAACCTTGTCTACTTTCAAAAACACCAAATCAATAGACAAAGAAATCGAACCAAGGAAAAAAACGAAGGCTCGAAATTAAGGAGGGCAGAGCATATCTTCCGTGGAACAAACCTGTCCTTTGTGGGACCAAGCTCCATAGGGAACTGTAGTGTTGAAGTTGAGAATCTTGAGATCCTCTGCTAGTTCTTTTACCAGATTCCTTGAACCTAGAAGAGGAATCACGGAATCTTCATCCCCACTGCAATTTGCGATTTGAATAAGAACAATGTATGTTTTACAAAGGTAGAATTAGAAGAATGCAAAAAAAAATGTGTGTACGCACATTACCTGAACACCCAAACAGGGATTTCCCTCTTCACGATTCTCTTAAGAATCGGAAGTATGTTCATGTTCCCGTCAGTGTCAGTATAGTTTAAGAGGCTGTGAAGGTGAAACATAGCGAGAGTTAGAAATAAAATTCTGAGATGGAGATTGAGATATAAGATCAAAGATGGGTGAAGTTAAACATTACCCGCTGCACATAGACCATGAATATGGCAGATTTGTTCGGTTAGCATGAAGAGCCTGTTGAACCTCAGGAAGAGTCAGATACAACTGCTCTTCGTAGCTCATGCACACGTCCACCCCAACACTCATCTTTGTACTCTAAAAATAATATTTTTGCCTCCAAAAAAGCATATTCAAATAGATAAATTTCCAGCCTTCAAAAAATCAGTTTTTCAAAAAAAATACAATCGAAACTCAAAAAGTTTTCCTCTATTTTCTTATTTTTGTTACAGTATGTAGACAATAAAATTTACGGGGATACGAAAATATTTTCCGCATTTATATGAGAAATTCTGTAGTATTTATAAATTCAATGAAAAAATAAATCTTCATTTATTCATATAATATTTATAGTCTTGGAAAACTTTTTTTTTGAAATTTATTTACTTTGAAAAAAAGTTGGTATTAACATTTACATGTAGGGAATTCAATCAGCAGAATGTATGTTTTCAAGACACCAAAACATAGTTGATTCGTTAGAAATTTTCAATCTAAATAACATATAAATAAAAATGCAACAAACTGGGACATCCTCTCCCGCTGAAGTTCACAATGTTGTAGTGCACCAATCCTAATCTTTAACATGTGAGCCTCACACAGCCATATATATAGGTTATTGGTGCGGCACACCAACTCTAATAAGTCTCTCACCGCTATATATGTAGGTTATTGGTATGTTTCGCGTTCCTTAAACCCAAAACCTCTCTGTTTAACAACTCTCCACAAGATAAACTGTCACCTAAGACCTCTCTCAATTGGTGAAATTTTGTTATATAGAAAGTTGAAAAAAATAAGGTCTTGGATTCGAGCAATGCCAAGCGTACCAATAACATACATGTATATCCGTGAGGGGTTCATATATGAAGGGTTAGGGTCGGTGCGCTGCAGCACTGTGAGTTTCTGTGAAAAAAAATTTCACAAAAAAGTCAATCAATTAGCTTGTCCTATGGAAAGTAGTTAGACCATCTTTAACGCAAGAAAACAAAAAAAAAATGTTCTTAAATTAAATTTTTTTTTTTTGTCTGTTTTTTTTTTAAAATATAAAGGAACCAATCGCGGATCGTGGAGCCCGCGAATAGTATAAGAGATGTCTTTTGCGTAAGAGAAGAGAGGGGAAGGTTTTAAAAAAAACGTGGGCCCCACATGGGCTCTGTCGCCTAAGAACTCTGCTAAGAAGCAGTGATATTAATGCTCTTAAAGGGTAAAGTTTTGAGTTTGAAAAACGTCAAACACGTCAATAACCTATAACCGTAAGGAGTTAACATGTGAATGTTTAGGATTAATGCGCTGCAACGCTATAAGCTTCTGCGGGACAGGTGATTACACAAATATTAGAAATCTTGGGCAGACTCAGTTTTTTCTTACCATTTTCTTGAGTCTGAGCTCTTGCTCGACAAAGGTTGGATAGCAGATATCAAGGAGCACGTCGTAGTAATTGACGTATTGAGTGATTATGGTTCCGGCTTCACTCATTGCGTCTTCACAAGGTTTGCTTATGTTGTGTGAACTTGAGAATGTGTAATCTTCAAAGTTGCATTGGTTCATGATAGTGAGGCCAAGTTCAACAGAGATCATCCCGTGTGACCAGAAGAACTCATACGTGGCTGGAACATCTCGGTCAAGCTTCAGAAGTTTGATTGCCGATCTGATCAAAACCCATGTATTTCTCAAAACAGAGCTAGTAAATAGAGATTTGAAAGTAACATATTTTGTTTTTATAGTTACTGCAATGCCCTTGAGATTGAACTTGAATCTGTTTGAGCGTCTTGAGTTGTATTCAAGTATTACATCAGCTAGTTGAGGTATATAGTGTCCTGTGTAGCTTTCGCCGGCTAGAAAGAGGTTTCGTGTCCTGAATTCTGGAAACTTTTCTAACCATCTTAAAAAGAACACCAGCATATCCTTGGCTAATATTGAAAACATCATTTAGAAGCCTTGTAAAAGAATTAATAAGCACGAATAATAAAAACGATAATTTTTAATCATCTGAAAGATTATATAATACCGGTGGATTCATCGTCTGTGGTGTAATCTGAAGTAGTGTTCGAGTAAGACCATCCTACTCCAGCCGGTGAATCCACAAACAACAGATTTGAGGCTACGTCACAATATTTATGTTAAGAAATTTGTCCTAAGTTTCATTAGAAAAAAAAAAAAAAAAAAAACTAACCTTTGTTCCAAGATTTGGAGTTTTTGCGGAGGCCACGACCATCTCCAGTGGTGTAAAATGGACCCAACTATGTGAAAGCTCCTCCCCCAATGGAAGAGCAGCCTGGCCCTGCAACAATATCTCAGTTTTAACCAAAACTAGTTTCATCTCCACTCTCCAGTGGGGTAAAATGGACTTTAAGCAAATTGCATTACTCTATTTTAAATTATATAGTGGATTAAGATGAAGAAACAGCAAACGGTATAATATACACTACGACAACTTTATGTTTTTCTCAAAACAACCAAATTCTAAAGAAAAACTACGAAAATGTGTTACAGAGAAGAGAAACAAGAGGTAGAGTGCGCAAAGCAAACCTCCATTAAGCCAAAGGGTTATGGGTTTAGTTTGTGGTTGCTTCTCAGCTTTGACGAAGTAATAAAAGAGGCTCCGACCAGCTTTGATGTCGACATCGACATAACCAGCGAATTGTCTGAATGTAACTGTAACGACCCAAATCTTTAATTTCAAGACTTGTTAGCCTGCTAAGGTCTATCACTCTCCTCTATAAAAGCCCACTATCTACCCATCAGTTTATTTTTCGTGGAAAATCAGAAATTAGTGAGAGAGAGAGAGAAAGAGAGGAAGAGAGAAAGAGAGTGGAATGGAGAAAACCCATATGTCTGAGCCATCACCGGAGCTCTTCCGGACCACCACTCTTCGACACTAGGCAGAGCTCATCACCATCGTCCACCACGGCAAAAGTAACAGGAAATCGCTGTGAGTTTAAGCTTTGTTTTGTCCGTTTAGTAAAACGTCGATACCTTCTGAACCATTGAGAATCTTGTGCATGCAAGTCCACCATCGTGTTCTACTTGTCGAGACGAAGCAGTAGACACCAAGAACGCCACGATCCGACCTCAGACGAAGCCGCACGCGCCCGTCAAAGTTTCACCGTCTGAGCGCGTGGAGTGCATGCGCCACTGGAGAGCCGCCGCCGGACCGCCGCGTCTCCGCCGCCAGACCGCCGTCGGGCCGCCGCGGACCGCCGTTTCTCCGCCGCCGAACCGCCGTCGGGCCGCCGTGTCTTCGCAGCCGCTCTGCTGCCGGACCACCGTTGCCGCCGGTGACCGTCGCCGGTGACTCGGCCTACTCGGTCGGGTCAACTCAGCGAGTCAACTCGGTTGGCTTGGTCAACTCGGTTGACTCGGTCAACCGGTTGGTGACTGGTTTGACCGGTTCAATTGAAACGCGATTTGGTTAAGATAAACCGGTGGTTAAAATCAACTGAATTTTGGTTAGGAGTAAACCGGATTGAAAATCGATTAGGTTTTGGTTCAATTCGATTCGAAATCGGTTAAGGTCAAACAAAATGGTTAGGTCAAATTGATTTCTGGTCAAGGGTTGACCGGGTTGACTTTGACCTGCGAGTAGACTTTTCTGTAATCGCCTGTTTTCGACCGTTCGAAGGTCAATCTGACTCGAAATTTCGATCTGATTTCAGATTTAGGATCTATTTGAGCAGCTGGAGTTCATAGATACCACTTTTCCCCAGTTGCTAAGGTGAGAGTCTACTTCCGAACGATTCGTACGCGACTTAGAACTTTAGATAAATATATTTTATTTCTAATGTGTTTCGTCTTTGTGAATTAAGTCTAATTTAGGGTATGATTGGTGTCTGCTTGTTTAGGTTTAGAATTCTTTGCATAAAACGGATTAGGGTGTCAGATGGTTCAATATTGATTGATTCGCTTAATGTAATCATTTAGTTAGAATTGCTTGGGACGGGTACAGAGACGTAATCATGTATGGTCGGGTGTATGTGGGCTACGGACAGCTGCAGTCGACCGGCTGGGTCGTAGTTCTTTAGGTCGATAAATCGTCTTCGGGGGGTGTTACTGGGCACTATCCCAGCGTTTGGCCTGTTAGTGGGCAGCGAGTAGGTGACTCGCTAGGATCATTGTTTGTTTGCTTGGGTACTTTAGGTGCCGTGTTTGACATGCATTAGAATTAATTTATATTTGTTCAGAGTGCTTTGTCCGGCTCTACGGACTTCGGGGTAACATCCCATACCTCACTGAGTGACTCCTCAGTCGCTCACCCCTCTTTCTTCCCATTTCAGGTGAGACAAGTAATAAGGTGATATTTGGACAGACTTGGTGCTATTGGACTTTTTATTCGGATTTGTATTTGGGCTGGGGTGAGTGTAGTTGGGCTTTTCGAATTTTTATGTTACGAGATATTATTGGTGGCCTGTTGTCCCTAGAGAGAGGGAGACGGGTGTCACATTGTTATTTGAGGACGCGTCGGGGGTGACACGCTCTACTACAAGTAGGAGGTGATGGGTGTTACAATTTTTGGTATCAGAGCAGGTTCCATCCCGGTTCTGTCCCGAGATGGCGGTCAGGGGATTCGGTTTTTAATGTTTTCAAAAAAAAAAAATATAATAATATGTATATAATAATAATATGAAAAAAAAAAGTATTTTGAAAATTCTTCTAGCACCATTATGTCCAGTAACCACTAATTCAATTGTCTCTTTTTATGACGATGAGTAAATTCATCGTCATTCGTCTTTCGGCTATCAGAGATCTACCAGATGTTCAGCAGAGATGTGATGCCGCATTTTTGTCAGTGTTTGCCGAGGTTTATTGGTTTCTTCATTCTTTCTCCTATGTTGTACATGAGTGGATATGTGACGTTTTTGCCATCACCCAATTTCAAGCCGTCGCTCCACGAGTTTCTTATGTATGAGTTTATGTGATGTGAATTTTGAGCCATGGGGTAGCGTATGTTGTTGTTGTGTACGAGTGTATTGACTATTTTGGAGATATGCTTTGGTTGTAAACTCGTGGAGATCGTCTTTGGAATCAGGGTGCAGCATCTAGTGTCGTGGTTATATTGGAGTTACTTTTAGCATGTTCGTCGGTTTTTGGTTTTGTTGACCACTTCAGAGACATGTCAGCTCGGTAAGCTGGCATAAGATGTGGAGAGCTATTCATGTTCATCGAGTTTTACTAGTTATGTTTAGAGGTTGCGTTATTCAGAGATTCGCCAGAGATGGAGCTGAGTTTTACGGCGCCAGTTTTTAGATAAAATGATTGTCATGATATCAAGAAGTATTGAGTTTCTAAAGGCAATGGTTTATATTTCTGGAGGAGATAAGAGTTTTATTGTTTCCACACTACATGTTGAGGAGTTATTGGATACAAGAGCAAATCGATTACTGAAGACCTTTGATGATTAAGGATAATGGAAAACATGAGATCCATGAGCTGCTAGTTATTACAGCATATAAGAATGTATTTGAGACATAGAAAAGGGTCATCATCGGATAGAAGACACGTTTATACGATTGAGTTGGAACTAGAGGTAACACCAGATTCACGATTTCCATACCGATTAGTGTGAGCAGAGATGACCAAACTGATGTGACAGTAAAGGATTTAGCAGACAAGGGTTTATTAGACTGGATTTTTGACATGGAGACCACCAATGTTGTTGCGACGAAGGAAGATGATATTCTCAGATTTTGTGTAGGCTAGAGAGGTTTGAACAAGGTGGCATCAAGAATAAGTGTCTGCTTCCGTGTATTGATGAGTTGTTGGAGTAGCTGTAAGGAGTTTTATGGTTTTCGAATGTTGATTTAGCATCGGGTTATCACCAGATCCCCATAGCGGAGGAGGATGTGTGGAAGACAACCTCCCATACACGTTATGGGCATTATGAGTTGTAGTAAGAACATTTGTATTGACGAACGCACCGGCAGTGTTCATGAAACTTATAATCGTTGTGTTCTGCGACTATTCGGTTAAGTGTGTGATCATTTTCATCGAAGATATCCTAGTTATTCTTGGAGCAGAGAAGAGCGTGCATAGCATTTGCGGATTGTATTGGGTAAGCTCAAAGTACATCATATAATTACGAGGTTTCTGAAGCAAGAGTTGTTGTTGATCTGGAAAAAGATTATTGCAGTTCTAGAGTGGTTATCACCTAAGAGTGTTGCTGTGTAGATCAGTAGATTTGGCGGGATACTACAGGAGGTTCATCATTTTTGAAGATTGACTTAGATTCAGAGTACCATCAGATTACTATAGCTGGGAAGTATGTACAGATTACGGTTTCACATATAAGATGGATATTATGAGTTGGAAATAATATTATTGGATTGAAGAATTCACGGATAGCAATCATGGAGCTTAAGGATAAATTATTTTGCCAACACTGGGATAAGTGTGTGGTTGTATTCATCGACAACATCCCAAATATTGTTGAAGTAGAGAGAGGTAAGATGAGCATGGTCAAATTTGGTATTTAATACAAAAAGGTCAGATCATTGCATAAGCAGCAAACAAGATGAAGATTATGAATATGAAGCATTTTGGAATGGAAGTTAGAGATTTTTGGAGTGATCACCAAAGTTACCTTTTACATTGACTATGAAATATCTATGTGGAGATGCATTAGTGTTGTGGGAGAAAGTACGATTAAGCCACTTTGTACCTAACAGACTTACCTTGAGGATTTGTTAGAGGTGTCATTCGGAAGGATATCTGGTCAGGACATTTTTGGATAGAATGCGAGTAGAGATTCACACACGAGAGGTGTCGTCGCTTACTTCAGATTAAGAGTTTTTGTGGAGAAAGCTACCGAGCAGGGAATGAGTCTGAGTTATTGAGTTGCCCCCGTTACAATCACCGTCATGAAGAGAATTGTATTAAGATTAATGTTGCGGTCAGTTGGAGCATATTTTGAGGCCAAATATTCAGTGCGCGATTTGGAGTTAGCAGCAGTTGCATCTACTTTAGAGTTTTGAGGATCATTGTTGTATAGCAAGGAAGTTTAGATTCATGGGGATCATCAGTCTGAAATATATGTGTGCATTCATTAAACTTGTACTTTAGGACGTGCAGATGGATTGAGTTGGTAGCAGTCTACAATTTGAATATAGAATGACATTTGGAGAGGACCAGTCAGAGTTTTTGAGAATAAATTCAGAGACTGGGTCTTACAGTGGAAAGAAAGTAATGGAAGCGTCTACCTCTAGCAAAGTTTGCCTACAGTGACAGTTACAATTAAAATATTGAGACAGCGCCATATGAAGCTTTTCATGATAAGTCTGAACAAAAGTGGGGGAGCAGCGAGTTGTAGAACCATCAATGGTTCAAGAGATGATAGAGCAAGTGGACATGCTCAAAGTTGGCTTTGGGACGGCTATGATCGTTAGAGAGTATGAAGATAAGAATCGTAAGGAATTGAAGTTTCGGGTAGCGACCGAGTATAACTGAAAATATAGACACTTTCAAGGAGGATATAAGACCCGAAATCCAAAGGAGGTAAACCAAAATATATTGGACCGTATTTAATTGTGGAAATGATTGGA